TTCCTGTCTGAATCAGCCAAGGAGAAGTTCCGTTTTGCAATAGGGAACTCTGATTGTCACATTCATTTTGAAAAGAGATAAATTCCTGGGATCTGTAGCCATGCCATTGTCTGAAGTTGCTCTAATTGCACCAGCATCACATTTGTTCTGTATTTTCTACTTAGAAAAACACTTGATAGGAAAAAAAGTTTAAATGTAGAAATTACAGCTGGAATATGGATCAACTAGGTAGAAAATGAATTATGAGTTAAATGACTATGAGTTCTCTCTGTCTTTCTCTTTGTGTGTGTGTGTATGTGTATGTATGTATGTGTGTGTATGTATGTAAACAAAAATATTTAATAATATTTCTGATGTGCCAGATAGTCTGGTGTGCCCTCATAGAAATCAGGATGAATTTCCTACAAGGGTGTGTCCTCAGCACTGTGACCACTGAAGTTAGGAGTGTCCCAGTGTTTAGTTCATGAATCTCTATTCTACAGTCTATACTAATGTAAAAATGAGCCTTAGTTAGTGACTAATACATGAAAAACTAAGTAAAGATTTAAGATATTAAAGTAACAACCATCATAATCTCAAAATTTAATTGAACAACATTTATGGGAGTATTTTATAAAATTAATAGAGCTATGAAAACACATTTTGGGTTTTTTTGGTGATCGTTCAATCATCCTATATGATTTTTAGTCACAGTGTCTTTTTCTCATGAGGAAAAATCTTACATTTTTAAGTTATAAAATACGGTCTGTATTAGTTTGGACTACTTCAATAGTTTTCAACATAGTGGGAGAAATAAAATGGCCACATCTATTTCTACTGTGATTAGTTGTGAATCTCTTGGTTTTCCTCCTTTCATTGGCAGCGTTTTGAGCAGTAACTCATTAAATTTGCATTTTGAGGACTCAGGACACCCACACATACCCATGTTACCATCACCACAATCAAGGCAACCAAGGTAATAGACATGGCCATCTCCCATATCCTTGTATCCTTTTGCTTATATTTATTCATGTTTTGGTGGGAAGAACAGTGTAGACGGTATCTGGTCTCCTACCAAACTCTAGATGCACAATATCATATTAATAACTTCAGGTACCATGTTGTAGATTAATCTCTATAACCTATATGTCTTGTAAAATTGAAACTTTGCCCATGTCTGATAACATCATTCAATCTTGTGATTTATTTTTTTATTTTATAGGTTCTAAGTTGTCTTCGCTGGCCTGGAACTCTCTATGTAGACCAGGTGACTTTGAACTGATGGAAAACTCTCCCTGCCTCTGCTTTCTGAGTGCTGGGATTAAAGGGATGTGCCACAATGCCTGGCTTTTGTACATCATTATTAAATATACAATGAAAAATGATGCTCCAGATGGCTTGCTCTTTTGCAATTTAAAGCAAAACACAATAGTTATGAAATTAATGGCAACATACATTTATATAATCGTGTTTACTATTAATATTCTTATTTCCATTTATGGAATACGTCTCAACGTTTTTCATCATACTGTTAAACACAGTGTGGTACTCATTTGTCTTTGACAAAAACAAATGAGCAAAGAAAAGTAAATTGCTTAAGCTTTCTATGAAAGTAGAAGAAAAATTTCGTTAGCATTGTCACAGCTAAATGTGTTCTGGAGTCAATGATTCTAAATGATATCATATTTCTCTTTCAAGTTTAAAGCCATACATGAAAAATGGAGCGCTACACCAGTATCTTAGAGCATTAAGAAGCAGCTTCCTTTCCAAGCCGGCTTATCCTTTCCTGGACTGAAGGTTCCCCTTTGCATTTGTCATCTACTGGATGAAGGTAGTTCTGGAAGCACACTTCTCAGAGGCCCGTGTGACCTGCCACTGAAACATAAGTCACCTGGGGAGCCCAAGGCCAACAAGCCCTGCCTCTGAAGCTTCCAGAGCATGACATATGCACACTGTGAAAGTGGGTAAGAAGTTTAGTTTCAGAAAGTTTTTAGAAACTTTTCATGGTACTTGAGAGGATCAACGAAGTTCTATTACCAGTGAATCGCTGTGCTAATTACCTCCAAATTCATTTCCTTGAGTATTTTTCCATATCACTAACATTTTGTCATTGATTTCATTATTCTGGCCCTCAGAAGACTTTTAGAAACCTAAAATGTCATTTGTGGGAATAATATAAACAAGCTAGGATTAGAGTTCTCTCTCAAAGAAAAGTGTATAGATGCATTATATTGCATGGGCATTGTCATAAATAACACTTTATATAGTGGGGTTCATAGGTACACCTCAGGAAGCCACTGAAAAAGTAATTCTAATACGAAAGCAAAGATATAACAGTGTCCAAAAAACTGTCAAACTGTCTTGCTTTACCTTTAAATCTAGGATGTGAGTGTGGCGTATAGATTTTTCCTACATTGCTTAACTTAGGCCCTTATTTTCTTTGGGTTTTTGTTTGTTTGTTTGTTTGGGTGGTAGTGGAGATTGATTCCAAGGTCTTTTACAAACCAGGCATGGACATGTGGTGGTGTAAATTACAAATGCCCCCCATAGGCTCACATACTGGAACACTTAGAGCCCAGCTGGTGGCACTCGTCGGGGAGGTTATGGAGGATTGCAGCATGGCTGGCGGGATGCATCACTCAGACAGGCTTTGGGAGTTCATGGTCACCCCACAACTCTGATTTGCCTTCTCCCTTGGGCTTGCAGTTCATGATATGAGCCCATAGCTCCCAGCTTCTGCCTCTATGCTTGCTACTTGCTGCCATACCACCCCATGTAAAAATGGAACTCTAATATTAAAGCAGAGATACACTAGTGCCTAAGCATTTGTCAAAGTGTCTTGTTTCATTCCAGGATTGTAGAGTGTAGTTTTTTCCTTGCCAGTCGCTTGGGCCCTACCGTGCTGTCTGAACCCCCAAATAACACACAGGACGCTGCATTAATTATAAAGCTGCTGGCCGTTTGCTTGGTTTCTTACTGGCTATCTCTGACTTAAGTATTTAACCCATAATTGTTAATCTAAGTATTTCTCTTACCGGAGAAAAGGGTCCGGACCTCTTACTCCTCTGGCTGCTACATGGTGTCTCCTCTGTGTCTCTCTTTCCCAGAATCTTCCTCAACTCCTAGTCCCACCTATCTTGCTTCCTTAGTGACCAACAGTGCTTTATTGACGTATACACAGGACTTCCCCATCACAGGATGGACTCATCCCTTCTGGAATCATAAGTCAAAATAAACCCTTCAATACCTTGCTTTGTTATGGCACCATGTAATAGCAGCTGAGAGGTTAGGAATATACTCCTCTGCCCCAACGCTCTGTTTCCCCATACCACTCCCTTTGCACACAGGACCTCGCTAAGTTGACCAGGCCAGCCTTTAATTTGCTCCCTCGTCCAGGCAGGCCTTATACTTAAGACTCTCCTACCTCAGTCTCCTGAGAACTTGGGAAAACTGGTATTGCCACCAGGATCATCGAGAAGTAGTATTAGTAATATGGAGCAACAAAATTGTTGCTGCTTAGAAAATAAGTTGGATATCATAAACTTTAAGATATGGTAATATCATTTATAAAACTTGGGAACCTTTAGATTGCAATGTTTGATAGTGATTTCACAACATACTAAGGCAGAAAGCCACATGTTTGTGTGTGCATATATGTATACATTCATTTAATTAACATATACATATGTGTGTGTTTCACTACACACCAGTGAACTGTACAGGGAAATAAACATGAGGGGTGTTAATTTTGGTGTCCCAAACATTGTTTTTTCTTCTAGTTTAATTGTCCAATTTGAGGGAGGAACCAAGTACATCTTTAAACATTCTTTCTGTAAAGCATTGTGAAAGGTGGTAAATATAGATAGAAAAATCTAGAGTTCATTGAAATATGTTAATCAGACATACTAGAAAACATGAATGGAAAGTTCCAAACCTAAGTCAGCTCAATACATTATTGACTCCAAATCACAGAGGAAACAAAAGAAATTATATTTGCATTGATGTGTGAATCTGCTTCCATTCTTGGTAGCATGTAATATATGCAACTCAATAGTTCTAGCTGTCCTTGTAGCCACATTACCATATTATTCAAATGTATCTATCATTTATATGTAAATAGACAAGATGAATGGCTTCTTCATGAGACAACAATTTTCAAATGATAAACAGACACAGGCAGATATTGGGGAGATAAAAATGTTTCAAATATTCATTCTTTTATACTTTTAAGGAAAAGTGGGAATTATTTCAATAAAAAACTAGTGTGGTAATTATAAAAATGAGACCTTAATACAATCACAATCCTGGTAGCTATTCTTCTCAGTAAAAAGTCGGCACCAGTGGTATCTTGTAAATTACATGTTCTCAGATCCATCTGTGAAAACTGGGATGCTAATTATCATGGTTACATTTCATGATTCCACAGTTAAATTCTGAGACAGTGCTACACAAACACCATATGTTTTAGTGAGGGAAATGAAGAAAGATTAATTACTAGTTGAAGTTCAGGTCTTCCAAGCTGTGACACCCTCAGCACAAAAAGATTGTTACATGGTATGCTATACAAATCGGAAGCTTTAGTTAATAGCTGAAATAACTGAAGAGGAAAACTTAGAAACTTAAATTTTAAGTATCAGGAACCCCCTACCCTGCCAAAAAAAATCTTTCCAAGAATGCTTTTGTGAAACCAAGTTACAAATCCAAGGAAAATATTCGGTGCTTCCTCTGGATTCCTTTGATAGTGACCATCCTTTTTGATATGCCTAAAAATCACAACATAAGCACACTAGTAACAAACAGACTACAAATAAACCATATACCTAACAAATGCAACTTAACATTTTCCAGATGTTCTAGGAGATATACTAAAAAAACTCTCACAGGGCCATTATTTTATACAAAATGATGTCTCATGTACTCAGAAAAATCACTCTTTTCAGCGCAGCAATTTAAAAAATCAGCTGTGATCAATGTAAGAATTTTATTCATATTTAGCTAGCCTGAAGTCTTATTTCACTTACCACATATTCAAAGACAAGCGTCAGTGTTTCCTTGGTGTGGATGATGTCATGAAGCAGTACAATGTTGGCATGCTTCAATCCTTTCAACAGAGAGGCTGTAAGATAAAGTGGACAGAGAAACCATTTACCATCAGTTGCCAGCAGCCAGCATGTTTTATTATCCATTTGGTCATTGTCAGATGAAAGATGTCTATTTCCCATGTTCTAAGCCAATAACTTTTCAGAATAATGGGGAGGGGGCGGACGACAAGATTTTCATGGAGAGAAACTCCCACCTACTTCAACTGTGAGTCATTAGCAGCCTCTGGAAAGGTTCCACTGAGTTCAGAGTGCATGCTTGCTGTGGTTTCAATTCTTTCAAATGGAAAGTAGTAAGATGCGTTTGTGTGTGTGAGCGCACGTGTGTGCGCATGGTACAGCCCAAGTGGGGAAGTCGGAGGACAATGCGCAGGGGTTGGTTCTCTCCAGCTACCACAGGCTGTGGGGCAGAATTCCCGTCAGCCATCAGGCTCAGCAGCAAGTACCTCTGCCCACTGAGCCACCTCACTAGCCCATAACTGTTTTAAATTTTTGAAGGTTGTTTTAATGAGGATTATTTACTATCAATACGGTTTATCCTAACTTATGTTCCGTGTACATGTATTCTATTAGTACCGGATGGAAAGTCCTGTAAACATCAACTAGGCCATATTGCTTCACAAGACAATTGAGATCTTCTAAATCTTTATTGACTTTCTGAATAGAGTAACAGTTCTACCAATTACTGAGAATGCAATGTTAACGTCCCCAACTACAATTGTGGCTTAATCAAAGTATCTTTTGAGTTCTCTAGTTTTGTTTTTTCCTTTTTTGCTTCTTTTTTCTCATTATTTTTGCTTACTTTTTTTTTTAGAAAAGAGCTTGCTTCACATGTTAATCCCAGCTCCCTCTCCCTCCCCTACTTCCACACCCCCTGACCCCCACCCCCCAACATCCCACCCTATCCCAACTCCCTTCCAGAGTCTGTCATTTCACTCAGGGCAGGGTCTAGGCCCTCCCCCAAGAGTCCAGACTGAGAGAGCCTCCCTCTTTGTGTTATGGACACACGACGTCTGTTTGTATGCCAGGGATAAACACTGATCCACTGCCCAGGGCTCCATAGGTTGCCCAGGCCTCTTCACTGACTCTCACAGTTATCTGAGGGAGTCTCAATTATTACAGGGTTCCTTTAATCAAACTGGACTGTGGGGATGTCTGTGGAGCATTTTCTTGATTGCTAACTTTGCTAACTGACACAGGAGGGCCCAGCCTACTGCTACTAGTGCGATTCCTACCTACACAGATGTTTCTAGGCTCAATAAGAAAGCCAGGCGAGCAGAAGCCAGGGACAAGTCAGTAAGCAGCACTTCCCCTGGTTGAAGTTTCTGCTCAGATTTCCATCTGTTATGGATGTAAGGAACCTCTTTCCATAGAGTGTGCGTGCTTTGGGGAACAGTGTTCATTGCAGCAATGGAAAACAAACTGGTGTGTATGCACGTGTACGTGTGTGTGTGTGTGTGTACACGCACGTGTGTGTGTGCGCGCGCGTACACGCGCGTGAGCACACGTGCATGCACACAGGCCAGAAGTCTTCTTGCAGAAGTCAGTTCTCTTTCCAGTGAGCACATGGTTCCCAGCTGCTGACCTCACGTTGTCAGGCTTGCTGGCCTGAGCCTTTTACCTAATGCGTCATTTCACAGCCTGACTTCCTTGAACTCTCAAAGCGCTGATGCTCACTGCACACACCTTTCTCATGCTTTGTTCTTTGGGAATTGGCCCTTTTATGGCTGGGTACTGCTTTGTTACTGGAAGTATTTACTGCTCTGCGCTTACCCTTGTGTGGCCTGTCCAGTTTGAAAGTGATTGTTTACATGGTGGATCTTTTATGGTACTTTTCCGTTTGTTTGTCTTATCAATACTGCCATAAGGAAGTGAAGTTTCACAAACAGCATGTAACTGGACCGTATGTTTTTAAATCCCGCCCTGACAATGTCTGGTTTTTACTTGATGGGGTTAGGGTCACTTGCATTTATTGTAGACATTAAATGTGCATACTATTTGCATTTCCCCTGAACACCTGGCTATTTAGTTTTCATTTATTTGGGGTTTCTATCTTCTATATTTCTTGGGAGTCCAGCTAACAATCACTTCATTTCATTTTCTCTTTTCTTTTACTTATCTTCTGCTGAGCTTTACATTTTCAATCCCACAAGGCTTTCTGTCTGTTTGTCTAATACATCCAAAGGACTGAAGAAGAAACATTTAATTCATATCACAGTATTCTATATGGTTTTCCTTAGTTTCACAGTGGGTTTCTGGCGTGTATCATTAGCTAAAGTGTGCAGACTCCCATTGCTCCTGTCTGTAGATGCAGATCCCTTTGTTCTCAGTTAATGGGCTGGAGCCCTAGTTGGAGAGTCCTCTGCCTCGACACTCGCATCCCCTTTGTACAATCGGGGTTGGTAGCTGAGAGGTGAGGTGACCTTTCCCACCCCTCCTGATCCCTCTTATTCCCCGCCCTTACTTCTCCATTTTCAACATCATTCAAGGGGGCTGCCCTTCCTTCATATAACTTCAGCTCCACGGAGGAGTGGGCTTCCAGGATCAACACTCCTGGTGCCTCCCACCTCAGCCTCCTTTGCTACAGACAGTGCTGCCAAGAACACTGATTCTAGCTTCCTTCTTCTCCTGTGTTTTCCTGAGCTTCAGAAAAAAAAAAAACATAATCTCTGTCCCTTTGTTGTTTCTTAGCCCCCTCTTGGGCCTCACCAGCACTGCTCCCTGGACCATCAAGGTTGTGATGGTTTTCTCTATTGACCCTGAAGGCATGAGTCACCTGTGTGAGTGAATGGAATCAAGGGCAGGCCGTCAACTTTCTGCTCCGCAATGAGAAGGACATGTCTTCTATCACTGCGTCCCCATTGTACACAAGGCCTGGCTCATGGAAGGAACTCAAATTTACTAGCTGTCATTCAATTTTAGGAGCCGTGTATACTCAACATCTAGGCCATCTCTCTACCCCTGATTCCTTTATTCTCATGGAATTAGACACATGTAAGACAAAAGGTCATCTTTAGACTTAACAAGTAATGGCTTGTAAATACACATATGATTTTGACCTTGTAACTCTTTTTTAAACTTTTGTTATAGGGCAATAGTTTGAAATCATTTTAAATAAAGTCCAAATATATCACTATTGTTCATTGTAGTAATTTATAATCTACCTTTTAATTATTCAACTCTCTCATCAGCTTCCTACCAGGAAAGTCTTAATAAATTGCCAGGACTCTGTTATTAATCTGCAGAACAAATGCAGGTTTACAGGCTGCCCTCCACACTTTTCCTCTGAGGCCAACTTCAGGAGAGGCTGTTATCTGGAACCACAGCAGGGTATTTGGAATTGATGGTCGGGACAGTGCTTAACACCCACTCTGTGAAGGAGGATATCCATCGGAAACCAATGAAGGACCAGGGAAATCACAGTGCATGAAAGGATCCTGGCTGGCTGTGGGAGGCGGGTTTCAGAAACCTATTATGTAACATTATTTGTAATCTTGTCCAATTTCGTTTTTCAGTGCTCTCTCCTGTTGTCAGGTTTAGTGATGACCCATCGGCAAGGATAAAACTCTGAAAAGGAATGGAGGCTTTGACTGCGGGAGCAACCCCACGTTTAGAGGACCTTTTGCTGGTTTCTTCTTTGCCATTCCCCCTATCATGGCCTTTCCCTTTTCACTGCTTCCTCTGGAAGCCTTCCTCATTCCTCAGAGTGATACCTTCATACTCTTTATGAATTACTGCGCTTGCTTCCCTCACAAGCCCAGCAGCAACAGATGCCTGTTAAATTTCATCTTAGGTGAAATTGGTATTTTTTCCCTTGAAAAACTCTGACATCACAGAAATAAATATTTCTTGTCATTTCACAATGCCATGTGATGTTTAAAAGCCTCTAAATACCTTTTTTTTTAAAAATGGGTCTCAATTTTGACAGTTTGTAGATTTCAGAATATATTTATGTATGCTTTCTCAACATACTGGCAGCCAAATAAGTATCACTATTTGAAAGTAAGTGTTCTTTTTGAGATTAACGTAATGAATCTGTAACTGGAAAAGGACAGAGCCATAATTTCCAAAGGTGATGACAGGAACATGGCATTTGACAGTGGAAAACAGCCAGCAATCTACCAACACGAGGACAGGTGACAGACACGACTACTTTGCGACTGCCAACCCGGTAGCCACTGTTGTAGCAGGTGCCCAGGGCTGTAGTTCCTGCTGCCACAAAGGCAAATAAGTCTCTTGGGTGCCAGGCTAATCCAGGGACACGCAACACGGAGTTCTGCAGCCAGTCTGTCCTTCCCCACAACGAACGCTGTCAAAATAACACCCTCGGAGACTTAGCTATATCATAAGTATACCATGTGTTATTCGCTGAGAGTTTGCAAACAAATCAAATCCTGCAACATTTGCATTGGTAACTCAGTAGATTTCCTTCCTGTACAAAGTTTGGTCAACCATTGAGCAACATTTCAAATTCAGTTCACCAGGAGGGTTTGACATGACTTAATTGTGAATGATGCAATATTTTGAATTAGGATCGAGGGTGAAAATCATCGTTTTGGGGTTCTGACATTACAACAATATGACGGAAGGTAACTGTGGAATGCAGGGAACTCCACCATCAAGGGGTGGGATTCAGACACAGAATCAGTCAGTCACATTGGGACATCCCACCTTGAGAACAGAGATAATCTCCATCGAATTAAAATGGGATGAATTTTATCTAAAATTGATCCCATGATAAAAATAGAATCTGAATCAATACATAAAGTTAAAGTAGGTTTATTTGATTAAATCCCCAATGCAACACATAAAAACTGTTTATAATGAGGAAGGGAACCAAAATTTGAGAATGTCAAATTCTCCTTGGAAAGAAATGACAGAAGACAAGTCTTCTCTGTAACTTCAGCGTTTGGAAAGAAATGGGGCATTTACCATTTCCTGTCATCTTTTCTGTGTGTCTTTGCCACTGGGTGAGATGTATCTGATTTTTCCCAGACAACAGCAATTAGTATCCATT